AGGCAGGAAGCAGGCAGCAGCAGACAGGAAGCAGGCAGCAGCAGGCAGCAGCAGGCAGCAGCAGGAAGCGGCAGGCAGCGGCAGGCAGGAAGCAGGCAGCAGCAGGCAGTAGCAGGCAGGAAGCAGGCAGCAGCAGGCAGTAGCAGGCAGCAGCAGGCAGGAAGCAGCAGCAGGCAGCAGCAGGCAGCAGCAGGCAGTAGCAGGCAGCAGCAGGTAGCAGCAGGCAGGAAGCAGGCAGCAGCAGGCAGGAAGCAGGCAGGAAGCAGGCAGCAGCAGGCAGCAGCAGGCAGTAGCAGGCAGCAGCAGGCAGCAGGAAGCAGCAGGAAGCAGCAGGCAGGAAGCAGGCAGGAAGCAGGCAGCAGCAGGCAGCAGCAGTAACGCCACAAGCCCGAGTTCGATTCCCGCTCACGGCCAATGTCGGTGGCGAGCATCTGAACCGGTTCTAAGGGGTGCCTCTCCCCTAGGTCGGCTCAGCCTTAAGCGGGTACCCGGTGCAGTGTATGAACGTACGTGTGTGTACGTGTGTGTGTGTACGTGTGTGTACGTGTGTGTGTGTGTACGTGTGTGTGTACGTGTGTGTGTACGTGTGTGCGTGTGTGCGTGTGTACGTGTGTGTACGTGTACGTGTGTGTACGTGTGTGTGTACGTGTGTGTGTACGTGTGTGTACGTGTGTGTGTTTACGTGTGTGTACGTGTGTGTGTGTACGTGCGTGTGTACGTGTGTGTGTGTGTTCTGTTAGCCTGGGTCTCTGCATAAGTAAATTTGTCTTTGTGTGTGTGTCCATGAGTGTCTGTGTGGAGCCATATCACTCAGCCCGTGTGAGTCTGTCTGTCTCTATGTGAGTCTATGGGTCTCTGTGTGAGTCTTTGGGTCTCTGAATCTCTGTGAGTCTATGGGTATCTATGTGAGTCTATGGGTCTCTATGTGAGTATGTGGGTCTCTGTGTGAGTCTATGGGTCTCTATGTAAGTATGGGTCTATATGTGAGTATGGGTCTCTGTGTGAGTCTGTGGGTCTCTGTGTGAGTCTGTGGGTCTGTGAGTCTATGGGTCTCTATGTGAGTCTGTGGGTCTCTGTGTGAGTCTGTGGGTCTGTGGGTCTATGGGTCTCTGTGTGAGTCTGTGGGTCTCTTGTGTGAGTCTGTGGGTCTCTATGTGAGTATGGGTCTCTATGTGAGTCTGGGTCTTTATGTGAGTATGGGTCTCTGTGTGAGTCTGGGTCTCTATGTGAGTATGGGTCTCTGTGTGAGTCTGTGGGTCTCTGTGTGAGTCTGTGGGTCTGTGAGTCTATGGGTCTCTATGTGAGTCTGTGGGTCTCTGTGTGAGTCTGTGGGTCTCTTGTGTGAGTCTGTGGGTCTCTATGTGAGTATGGGTCTCTGTGTGAGTCTGTGGATCTCTGTGGGAGTCTATGGGTCTCTATGTGAGTCTGGGTCTTTATGTGAGTATGGGTCTCTGTGTGAGTCTGTGGATCTCTGTGTGAGTCTGGGTCTCTGTGTGAGTCTATGGGTCTCTGTGTGAATCTATGTTTCTCTGTGTGAGTCTATAGGTCTCTGTGAGTCTATGGGTCTCTGTGTGAGTCTATGGGTCTCTGTGTGAGTCTATGTGTCTATGTGTGAGTCTATGGGTCTATGTGTGAGTCTATGGGTCTCTGTGTTAGTCTATGTTTCTCTATGTGAGTCTATGGGTCTATGTGTGAGTCTATGTGTCTCTGTGTGAGCCTATGTGTCTCTGTGTGAGTCTGTGGGTCTCTGTGTGAGTCTATGGGTCTCTTTGTGAGTCTGTGGGTCTCTGTGTAAGTCTATGGGTCTCTGTGTGAGTCTATGGGTCTCTGTGTGAGTCTATGGGTCTCTGTGTGAGTCTATGGGTCTATGTATGAGTCTATGTGTCTCTGTGTAAGTCTATGTGTCTCTGTGAGTCTATGGGTCTCCGTGTGAGTCTGTGGTAACCAGGCTGAGACCATCAACTCACTGCACCAGAGGGCCCGGTTTGACCCCTGGCACCAGCTGGAACTGGGATTGCCACTCGGGAGACAAAGGCGGCCGTGCGGGTGGTTTCCGGCCCCAACTACCCGCCACGGTGGCTAGGAGATGTCAATTACCTCGCCTGCTATACAGGAGGTCGTGGGTTTAGATTCAGTTTGAGTCTCTGTGGGTCGCTGTGGGTCTCCCGTGGGTGTCTACGAGTCCGTAGAGACAGGCGCTCGGGGTGTTTGGCCGTGGTACATTTCCACGCGGCGACGACGATCACGATGAGCCACTTCGTCGGGGTCCCGTTGCTTGCGAGGGCCACGTTGCGCTTCTGAGACACATCTCGACACAGCTCAGTTTGGGGACCCCTACTGCTGGCGAACACGAAACATCGTTCAAGAGAGTTCGGCGAGACGGAGAGAGCGTGCCGTGCCGTGCCGTGCTGGGACACCGTCTGCGGGCACTTGCCCCAACCGCCTTTCGTAGGCTACACGGGGCGCCTTTGTCTTCGTCACACACGAAACAAAGACAAAGATCCCCCCCTATAGCCTTAAGAGACTGTTGGGGCAAGTGCTGTTAGCGAGCGCCTACGAAGGCCGGCACTGTGGCACACGAGGGGGTGTGGATGGCCAGCAGCACCACGCCCGGCCGCCTTTGTCTCCCCTGTGACGATGTTTGCTACACACAGCACCAGGTGCTCATTTAATGCTGAGTCGACCTAGGGGAGGCCCAAGACCGGTTCAGATAGTCGTCACTGGTGTTGGCCGGGATTAGGAGTTGAACTCGGGTCTCCTGGTTCGTAGCGCAGCGCGCTGCACTACTGCTCCTACACACGCACACACACAGACACGCACACACACAGACACGCACACACAGACACGCACACACACAGAGACGCGCACACACAGACACGCACACACACACGGAAACGCACACACACAGAGACGCGCACACAGACGCACACACACAGACACGCACACAGACACGCACACACAGACACGCACACACACAGAGACGCGCACACACAGACACGCACACACAGACACGCACACACACACAGACGCACACACACATAGACACGCACACACAGAGACGCATGCACACAGACACGCACACACAGACACGCACACACACAGACATGCACACAGATGCGCGCGCGTAAACACCGCACGCACCACGCATCACGCATCACGCACGTGCCATCACTCGCCACGGGCTCACGCAGATGTCCGCTCCGCGGTTGGGGGCGGGAGAGAGTTCAACTCCCGTACAGGGCTCCACTCATCATCTCACATTCGTCGATATCATCATCATCATCATCATCGTCGTCGTCATTATAGACATCACCATCGTCATCATGATCGCATCCATCATTCATCCTCCGTTGACGTCATCGTCACTGTAGACATCGCCTTGTTTCATCATCGTCGTCATCGCGTTATCATTTATTCATGTCATCGTCATCAACATCATCATCAATGGTCGCCAGACTAAGATAATCAGCTCGGTGTAATCACAATTCTGTTAGCCTGGGTCCTCTGCATAAGTACATTTGTCTTTGTGTGTTTGTCCATGGGTCTCTGTGTGGAGCCATATCACTCGGCCCGTGTGAGTCTGTCTGTCTCTATGTGAGTCTATGGGTCGCTGTGTGAGTCTATGGATCTCTGTGGGAGTACGTCGGTCTCTGTGTGAGTCTGTGGGTCTCTGTGTGAGTCTATGGGTCTCTGTGTGAGTCTATGGGTCTCTGTGTGAGTCTGTGGGTCTCTTTGTGAGTCTGGGTCTCTATGTGAGTCTGGGTTTCTGTGTGAGGCTGTGGATCTCTGTGTGAGTCTGGGTCTCTGTGTGAGTATGGGTCTCTGTGTGAGTATGTGGGTCTCTGTGTAAGTCTGTGGGTCTCTGTGTGAGTCTGGGTCTCTGTGTGAGTCTGGGTCTCTGTGTGAGTCTGTGGATCTCTGTGTGAGTCTGGGTCTCTATGTGAGTATGGGTCTCTGTGTGAGTCTATGGGTTTCTGCGTGAGTCTGTGGGTCTCTGTGAGAGTCTGGGTTTCTGTGTGAGTCAGTGGGGCTCTTTGTGAGTCTGGGTCTCTGTGTGAGTATGGGTCTCTATGTGAGTCTGGGTCTCTGTGTGAGTCTGTGGATCTCTGTGTGAGCCTGGGTCTCTATGTGAGAATGGGTCTCTGTGTGAGTCTGTGGGTCTCTGTGTGAGACTGGGTCTCTGTGAGTATGGTTCTCTGTGTGAGTCTGTGGGTCTATGGGTCTCTGTGTGAGTCTGTGGATCTCTGTGTGAGTCTGGGTCTCTATGTGAGTATGGGTCTGTTGAACTCTGTGTGAGTCTGGGTCTCTTATGTGAGTATGGGTCTCTGTGTGAGTCTATGGGTCTCTGCGTGTGTCTGTGGGTCTGTGTGAGAGTCTGGGTCTCTCTGTGAGTCTGTGGGTCTCTGTGTGAGTATGGGTCTCTGTGTGAGTATGGGTCTCTGTGTGAGTCTGTGGGTCTCTGTGTGAGTCTGGGTCTCTATGTGAGTATGGGTCTCTGTGTGAGTCTATGGGTGTGTATGTAAGTTCAACTTCTTTTTCACCTTACGTAGCCAACTGTTACCAACCCCCAGGGAAAAAGAGAAATGATCACCCCATGGCTCAGAGCCAGGAGAGGTGGCGTTAGCCACAGACTCACATAATGACCCAAAGATAGGGACCCATAGACTCACACAGAGACCCATAGACTGATATAGAGACCCACAGACTCACACAGAGACCCATAGACTGATATAGAGACCCACAGACTCACACACACCCATAGACTCCCATCGAGACCCACAGACTCGCACAGCGAACCATAAACTCACACACGGACTGAGTTGTGGTTAAACCGGGATTCTCGCGTGCAGTGAGGTTATTGTGTCACGTTGGCTGTGCCGTGTGTGGCTGTAGAAGTACGCGGCTGTACTGTGTGTGTCCGTGCCGTGTGCCGCGTGCGACTGTCGAGTCGGGTGGCTGCCGACACGCTGGTCTCACCGTGTGTCCGTGTGCGGCTGTAGAGGCGAGCGGCTGTGCCGACACGCTGTTCCAGGAGGTGCTGAGCCGCAAGGACAATGCGGACGCTACGCGCAACGCCCTCAGCGTGCTGCAGCGCTTCAAGTTCCTCTTCAACCTGCCGCTCAGCATCGACCGCAGCGTGCACAAGGTGGGGCTCGCCACAGACGGGGGTTGAACTCAGGTTGTTGGTGTCTAGTGCACGGCCACAGTGGGTCACCGGACAGAGATGGGGAGACACCCAGACCCAGGGGTTGAACCCAGGTGGTCCGGTGTCTACTGCGCGGCCAGCGTTTGAGTCTCGTAGGACAGTGAGGGGAGACACATCACTGCCAGGGGTTGAACCCAGGTGGTTGGTGTCTAGTGCGCGGCCACAGTGGGTCACCGGACAGAGATGGGGAGACACCCAGACCCAGGGCTCAAACTCAGTTTATCAGCACGAAGCTTCGGGTCTTCTCGGCCACGGTCATTCCCTCCCTTCTCTACGCTTGCGAAACGTGGACCCCCCTAATGGAACATCTTCGCCGGTTAAAAACATTTAGGCTGGCCTGCCTACGATCCATCCTGGGTTTAACCAGGCTGGATTGTGTGAGGAGCTCACAAATCCTTGAGAGATCTGGGCAAGGTCCCATCGGTGAGCTCCTCCGGCGGGGAAGGCTGCGTTGGCTGGGTCATGTAGCCCGCATGTCCAATCACCGCATGCCTGAACAGCTTTTGTTCGGCCGGATCGAGGGGGCTAAACGGGCGCGGCACGGGCTAGAGAAGAGATGGAGTGATGTGGTACAGGAGGACGTGGAGCTGAGTGGTCTTGCCGATGACTGGTACCAGCGGTGTCAAGATCGGCCTCTGTGGAGGAGGCTCGTGAAGGACGCTACTGGGCAGTTGGAGGCAGTTGCCCTCCAACAACAACGGAGGGCGGAGGAGCGACGCTCACAACCACGAACGGAGCACCGGGTGGCTAAAGCACAGCAAGTTGGCACAGTAGGGGGCACAGGTGGTGCATCAGCCACTCATCTCAGTCATCTCAGTCAGTCGACCCGTGGCACCTGCTGGGTCTGCCCCCGTGACCTCCTGCCCGCGGGCATTCGACACTTCACGTGGCCTCAAGGTGCACATGGCTTGGCACAAGCGTCGTGGTGACGTCACCGCCACTTAGTGGTGAATGGCGGTTGTTGTTGTGTCTGTGCCGGCGTGCGCCACCAGGGGGATTACGACGTCGTCATCAACGACTACGAGAAGGCCAAGTCACTCTTCGGCAGTACCGAGGTTCGCGTCTTCCAGAAAGGTGAGCTGGCAGCGGTGGCGCTGGTAACTGGTGGTGGTGGTGGTTTTAGTAGTGGTAGTAGTGGTGGTGGTTTTAGTAGTGGTAGTAGTGGTGGTGGTTTTAGTAGTGGTAGTAGTGGTGGTGGTTTTAGTAGTGGTAGTAGTGGTGGTGGTTTTAGTAGTGGTAGTAGTGGTGGTGGTTTTAGTAGTGGTAGTAGTGGTGGTGGTTTTAGTAGTGGTAGTAGTGGTGGTGGTTTTAGTAGTGGTAGTAGTGGTAGTGGTGGTGGTTTTAGTAGTGGTAGTAGTGGTGGTGGTTTTAGTAGTGGTAGTAGTGGTGGTGGTTTTAGTAGTGGTAGTAGTGGTAGTAGTGGTGGTGGTTTTAGTAGTGGTAGTAGTGGTGGTGGTTTTAGTAGTGGTAGTAGTGGTGGTGGTTTTAGTAGTGGTAGTAGTGGTGGTGGTTTTAGTAGTGGTAGTAGTGGTGGTGGTTTTAGTAGTGGTAGTAGTGGTGGTGGTTTTAGTAGTGGTAGTAGTGGTGGTGGTTTTAGTAGTGGTAGTAGTGGTGGTGGTTTTAGTAGTGGTAGTAGTGGTAGTAGTGGTGGTGGTTTTAGTAGTGGTAGTAGTGGTGGTGGTTTTAGTAGTGGTAGTAGTGGTGGTGGTTTTAGTAGTGGTAGTAGTGGTGGTGGTTTTAGTAGTGGTAGTAGTGGTGGTGGTTTTAGTAGTGGTAGTAGTGGTGGTGGTTTTAGTAGTGGTAGTAGTGGTAGTGGTGGTGGTTTTAGTAGTGGTAGTAGTGGTGGTGGTTTTAGTAGTGGTAGTAGTGGTAGTGGTGGTGGTTTTAGTAGTGGTAGTAGTGGTGGTGGTTTTAGTAGTGGTGGTAGTGGTGGTGGTTTTAGTAGTGGTAGTAGTGGTAGTGGTGGTGGTTTTAGTAGTGGTAGTAGTGGTGGTGGTTTTAGTAGTGATAGTAGTGGTGGTGATCTTAGTGGTGGTGCTAGTGGTGGTGCTGGTTAGTGCTGGTGGTAGTGGTTTTAGTCATGGTGGTGGTGGTTTTAGTAGTGGTAGTAGTGGTAGTGGTGGTGGTTTTAGTAGTGGTAGTAGTGGTGGTGATCTTAGTGGTGGTGTTAGTGGTGGTGCTGGTAGTGGTGGTGGGAGTGGTGGTAGTAGTAGTTGTGGTGGTCATAATGGTGCTGGTAGTTGTGGTCGTGGTTTTAGTCGTGGTGCTAATGGTGGTGCTAGTGGTGGTGCTAGCCTGGCCTGGCACAAGCGTCGTGGTGACGTCACCGCCACTTAGTGGCGAATGGCGGTTGTTGTTGTTGCTAGTGGTGGTCGTGGTGGTGGTGGTGGTAGTAGTAGTAGTGGTGGTGGTGGTCGTGGTGGTAGTAGTAGTGGTGGTGATCGTAGTGGTGGTGGTAGTTGTGGTCGTGGTTTTAGTCGTGGTTTTAGTTGTGGTGCTAGTGATGGTGCTAGTGGTGGTGCTAGCCTGGCCTGGCACAAGCGTCGGGGTGACGTCACCGCAACTTAGTGGCGAATGGCGGTTATTGTTGTTGCTAGTGGTGGTCGTGGTGGTGGTGGTAGTAGTAGTGGTGGTGGTGGCGGTAGTGGTAGTGGCGGTGGTGGTCGAACTACAAGAGTGACAAGTAGGTGACTGGAACGTCAATGACCGGAGTGATGCTGATGATGATGGTTGTAGTGTTAATGCTGCTGATGACGATGATTCTGCTGATTCTGCTGCTGCTGATGATGATGATGGTTGTGATGCCGCTGCTGCTGCTCCTGATGATGATGTTGCGTTGATTCTACTGCTGATGATTATGATGATGATGTTTGTGATGTTGATGCTGCTACCGATGATGATTCTGTTGCTGCTACTGATGATTCTGATTATTATGATTATGGTAATTATGATGATGCTGCTGCTGATGCAGCTGCTGATGATGCTGCTGCTGATGATGCTGCTGCTGATGCTGATGCTGCTGCTGATGATGATGGCGATGCGGTGTGCGTGCAGTCTATGCGGACGTGGAGGTGCGAATCGAAGGCCTTCGGAAACTCCTCCTTGGAAAACTTCTGGAGACACCGGCCACACTGCACGACCAGAAGCGATACATCCGGTACCACCACCACAACAACAACAACTGCCACCACCACAACAAAAACAATAACAACAACTAATAACAACAACAGCTGACGGAACTCTACCATTTGTGGATATTCTGTCTCGGACGGGGTCGAAATGGTAAAATAACACACAGCGTGTTTACCGAAAGGCAACGCACACTGACGCCTATCTGAATGCAGAGTCACACCATCACCCCGCACAGAATTCTTCTCTTATCAAGACGCTCATTCATCGAGCTAAGCACGTGTCAGATGGTGACAGTCTGAGAAGTGAAATTCAACATGTTGAAGAAGCGCTGCTAATGAACGGTTTCATTGATGCACAAATCAAATGACACGAGCGTTTAAACTGCCCAAGTAATTGAAACGATCAGAATGCCGTACATTGCGGGAGTAACTGATAAACTAGCCAGATGTTTGGAAAAACAAAACATCCGAGTCAGATTTGGCACGGTACGTAAAATACAGAAATTCATGTCTGGTTCCAAAATATGTATTACCGAAGCCATCAACAGAAGTTGTGTACGGGATTAACTGCACGTGTGGCAAATACTCTGTTGGGCAAACAGGACAAATGATCAGCACGAGACTAAAAGAACATCAGAGAAATATTAAATTCTCCCAAAAACAACTGTCAGCAGTAGCAGAACATGCGTGCCAACGAGGACACTCCATTGATTTTGATAATGTTGAAGTTCTGTGCAAAACGAGCTACTACTGACCAAGACTAATTTGAGAATCTATCAAAATTTAAAGAAATAAAAATAAATTTAACCGTTCGGATAGCTACCGCCTTAGTGCTGCGTGGAAGCGAATCATCAAATAAAACATTGTTTAAATGTATGCCTATGAAAGGCACCATACTTCCGTAGGGATTACCGTTGGTACGGCTGTTTTAATACACACAATGGACAGGAAGGACAAGATCAAAGGGTTGTTGGTTGTTGAATATTGTTGTATTATATTGTTATTGTTGTATATATTATTGTTCAATTTAGATACTTGGCTGATCTCCGTTCGCCGGGCGACCCCACTTGGCAGTGCATTGTGGGACAACAGAAATGGCTGCTGAGCTTGATGACTTCCTGTCACGAGACCTGGCTAAAAGAAGAGACAGGTAATGGTGAAGTATGGCCGTTGTTGTTGCATCTTGGTTCATCAACCCACGGTTGCCTATGAGCTGTCGGCCCAAAGACCAAAATCACCGAATGGACCAGCAACAAACAGCACCCATCCTCCTCCCCTCTCCTCCCTCTCCTCCTCCCCCCTCCTCCCTCCTCCCTCCCCCCTCCTCCTCCTCCCTCCTCCTCCTCCCCCCTCGTCCTGCCTCCTGCTCCCCCGTGTTTGTGCATGGGGCGTGGTGGGGGTCTCTTGTCAACTCAACCACACCGCAGGGCCCGGTTCAAACACGACTCTGAGTCTGTGGGTCTCTGTGTGAGTCTATGGATCTCTGTGTGAGTCTGTGGGTCTCTGTGTGAGTCTGTGGGTCTCTGTGTGAGTCTATGGGTCTCTGTGTGAGTCTGTGGGTCTCTGTGTGAGTCTGTGGGTCTCTGTGTGAGTCTGTGGGTTCTCTGTGTGAGTCTGTGGGTCTCTGTGTGAGTCTATGGGTCTCTGTGTGAGTCTGTGGGTCTCTGTGTGAGTCTATGGGTCTCTGTGTGAGTCTGTGGGTTCTCTGTGTGAGTCTGTGGGTCTCTGTGTGAGTCTGTGAGTCTCTGTGTGAGTCTGTGGGTCTCTGTGTGAGTCTATGGATCTCTGTGTGAATCTGTGGGTTCTCTGTGTGAGTCTGTGGGTCTCTGTGTGAGTCTGTGGGTCTCTGTGTGAGTCTGTGGGTCTCTGTGTGAGTCTGTGGGTCTCTGTGTGAGTCTGTGGATCTCTGTGTGAGTCTATGGATCTCTGTGTGAATCTGTGGGTTCTCTGTGTGAGTCTGTGGGTCTCTGTGTGAGTCTATGGGTATCTGTGTGAGTCTGTGGGTCTCTATGTGAGCCTGTGGGTCTCTGTGTGAGTCTATGGATCTCTGTGTGAGTCTGTGGGTCTCTGTGTGAGTCTGAGTCTCTGTGTGAGTCTGTGGGTTCTCTGTGTGAGTCTGTGGGTCTCTGTGTGAGTCTGTGGGTCTCTGTGTGAGTCTGTGGGTCTCTGTGTGAGTCTGTGGGTCTCTGTGTGAGTCTCTGGGTCTCTGTGTGAGTCTGTGGGTCTCTGTGTGAGTCTGTGGGTCTCTGTGTGAGTCTGTGGGTCTCTGTGTGAGTCTGTGGGTCTCTGTGTGAGTCTGTGGGTCTCTGTGTGAGTCTGTGGGTTCTCTGTGTGAGTCTGTGGGTCTCTGTGTGAGTCTGTGGGTCTCTGTGTGAGTCTGTGGGTCTGTGTGAGTCTGTGGGTCTCTGTGTGAGTCTCTGGGTCTCTGTGCGAGTCTGTGGGTCTCTGTGTGAGTCTGTGGGTCTCTGTGTGAGTCTGTGAGACTCTGTGTGAGTCTGTGGGTTCTCTGTGTGAGTCTGTGGGTCTCTGTGTGAGTCTGTGGGTCTCTGTGTGAGTCTGTGGGTCTCTATGTGAGCCTGTGGGTCTCTGTGTGAGTCTCTGGGTCTCTGTGTGAGTCTGTGGGTCTCTGTGTGAGTCTGTGGATCTCTGTGTGAGTCTGTGGGTCTCTGTGTGAGTCTGTGGGTCTGTGTGAGTGTGTGGGTCTCTGTGTGAGTCTGTGGGTCTCTGTGCGAGTCTGTGGGGCTCTGTGTGAGTCTGTGGGTCTCTATGTGAGCCTGTGGGTCTCTGTGTGAGTCTATGGATCTCTGTGTGAGTCTGTGGGTCTCTGTGTGAGTCTGTGGGTCTCTGTGTGAGTCTATGGGTCTCTGTGTGAGTCGCTGTGTGAGTCTGTGAGTCTCTTTGTGAGACTTTGGGTCTCTGTGCGAGTCTGTGAAACTCTGTGCGAGTTGCTGTGTCTCTCTCTGAGTCTACGGATCTCTGTGCGAGTCGCTGTGTGCAGTCTGTGAGTCTCTGTGAGTCCATGTAAGTCTTCGTGTCAGTCTGTAGGTTTTGTGAGACTATAGGTTCTGTGGAGCTCTGTTAGTGTCCATGTAACTGTGGGTCTCTATGTAACTCTATGAGTCTCTATGTAATCCCTCTATGGGTCTCTATGTAACTCTATGGGTCTCTATTTAACTCTATGGGTCTCTATGTAACTATGTGGGTCTCTATGGAACTACGTGGGTCTCTAACTCAATGGGTCTCTATGTAACTATGTGGGTCTCTATGGAACTACGTGGGTCTCTATTTAACTCTATGGGTATCTGTAACTCCATGGGTCTCTATGTAACTCCTCTATGGGTCTCTATGTATCTCTATGGGTCTCTATGTAACTCCGCTATGGGTCTCTATGTAACTCTATGGGTCTCTGTGTAACTTTGTGGGTCTCTATGTAACTATGTGGGTCTCTATGGAACTATGTGGGTCTCTATGGAACTCTATGCGTCTCTGTGTAACTCTATGGGTCTCTATTTAACTCTATGGGTCTTTGTGTAACTCTATGGGTCTCTGTATATCTATGGGTCTCTATGTAACTATGTGGGTCTCTATGGAACTATGTGGGTCTCTATTTAACTCTATAGGTCTCTGTGTAACTCCATGGGTCTCTATGTAACACCTCTATGGGTCTCTGTGTAACTCTATGGGTCTCTATGTAACTCCTCTATGGGTCTTTGTGTAACTCTATGGGTCTCTGTGTAACTATGTGGGTCTCTATGGAACTATGTGGGTCTCTATGGAACTCTATGGGTCTCTGTGTAACTCTGTGGGTCTCTATGTATCTCTATGGGTCTCTATGTTACTCCCGATCACGCGTTAGTTACGTAAACGCATGCAGTCACCGTGGTGGCTAGGAGATGTTAACTCCCTCGTCTGCTATACAGTAAGTCGTGGGTTCCATCCCGACCCTGACGCCTGCTGTATATTTGGAGTTTGCGTGTCTCTCTCTCTCATCATCACGGTGGCTATGAGATGTTAACTACCTCGCCTGGTATACAGGAGGTCGTGGGTTCAATCGTGACCCTGACACCTGCTGTGTATTTGGAGTTTGTGTGTCTCTCATCATCATCACGGTGGCTAGGAGATGTTAACTACCTCGCCTGGTGTACAGGATGTCGTGGGTTCCATCCAGACCCTGACACCTGCCGTATATTTGGAGTCTGCGTGTCTCTCTCTCTCTCATCATCGTCACGGTGGCTAGGAGATGTTAACTACCTCGCCTGGTATACAGGAGGTCGTGGGTTCCATCCAGACCCTGACACCTGCTGTATATTTGGAGTCTCCGTGTCTCTCTCTCTCCCCGTGGTGGCGTGGATTTCTCTCTGGGTCCTGCGGCTTTTTCCCCTCCGCATTTAGGATCAACGTCACCACGCGTTCCGAGTGTTTGGCTGCTGCTGTAAATGTCCACGTCATGATGATGATGATCCTAAGCCACTAAGTTGAGCAATTATTTGTGGTAGTGAGGTCGCTTCTGAAAAAAGAACTACGTAGCAAAGTGGGGCCTTACCTGGTAAGACAAAGAATGGTTTAGTATTGGTCTCAATGGGTTGCTATGGGTATATGGGTCTCAATAAGTATGGGTCTCTTGATCTCTATGAGTCTCTATGAGTATGGGTCTCTGTGGGTCTATGAATCTCTATGAGTATGGCTCTCTATGAGTTTCTGTGAGTATGGGTCTCTGTGGGTCTATGGATCTCTATGAGTATGGGTCTCTGTGGGTCTCTAAGAGTCTCGATGAGTATGGGTCTCTGTGGGTCTCTAAGAGTCTCGATGAGTATGGGTCTCTGTGGGTCTATGGGTCTATGACTATGGATCTCTGTGAGTCTCCATGAGTATGGGTATCTGTGGGTCTATGAGTCTCTATGAATATGGGTCTCTGTGGGTCTATGGGTCTCTATGAGTCTCTATGAATATGAGTGTGGGTCTCTGTGGGTCTGCGTCTCTATGAGTATGGATCTCTGTGAATTTCTATGAGTCTCTATGAGTATGGGTCTCTGTGGGTCTCTACTAGTCTCTATGAATATGGGTCTCTATGAGTCTCTATGAGTATGGGTCTCTGTGGGTCTATGGATCTCTATGAGTATGGGTCTCTGTGGGTCTTCATGAGTCTCTATGAGTATGGGTCTCTGTGGGTCTCTACTAGTCTCTATGAATATGGGTCTCTGTGGGTCTATTAGTCTCTCTGCGTCTCTGTGGGTCTCTATGAGTGCCCGAGTCTGTAGAGACACGCGTTTACAGTATTTGTCTGCTGCTATAAATATCCACGTGATGACGCTGGTGATGATTATGATGATGCTCCCCCACTATCTTCGAGCTATCATTTGTGTTGGCCAGGTCGCCTCTGAAAAAAAGATCTACACAGCAGCTCAGCGGGGGCCTTACCTGGCCACAATAACCAAATGCCGTAATCGCTTAGACTCCATGCGGAACACGTGCTCGCGAGAACGGAGTGTTTGCGTGCGGACCCAGTTTGCACCGCCACCACCGCTGCCATTGACTTGCTGTGTGTGTGTGTGGTTCCGCATGCGGAGCGCTGGGGCAGCGACCATCGCGCGACAGCTGCACGTTCCAGGCAGAGAGCCGAGTTACAATTCCTGCTCACGGTCACCCAGCACCGGCTTGGATCGCCTGAACCAGTCCCCTGGGCCTGCCCGAGATTGACCCTCTGGGCCTCAAATGAGTACCCTCTGCGGTGTGTAGCGGGCTACTGCTCGCTACTAACAGCACTTGCCCCGACAGTCTGTTAGAGGCTACACGGAGGGGGGGGCGGGGCGGGCGTGGGGAATCTTTGTCTTTGTGTGTCCGTGTGTGTCTGTGTGACAATTCGCATGATTGATGATTAGGCGTGCCACAAATTTGCGCTTGCTGTTTACCGTTCAGCTTAACTGTCACAATTTATTCACTCGTTTTGAAATATGAATTGTCATCATCATCCACACCCACACCACTACCGCCACCGTCATCATCATCATCCACGTGTATTTGCACAAGCAATTGATCTTGAGGCTGAGCCTACCCAAGGCAGTCCCACGCTAGGTGTCACGCACCGATCGAACACCCTCGTCTCCTTAGCATGAGAACGTGGAATGTTTGCGCTGGGAGCCAACTCTCGTG